GCGTACCTTATATGTGACATGACTGTGAATGAATTGTTGAGACCTGAAGCACACAAGAAAGTCTTGCATGATGTATATATATATATATAAATGCAAAAAACTATTATGTTATGCTTTAGATTTAATTGTTTTCCATGTGCTCAACATGGCTGATGTTGTTAATCTCTTCTAGGCTTCAGGATGTTGGAGGCTTTCAACATCACAGACCGGACATTCGCTGGTGTGAATGGTGTGTCCATGGAGCCTGGTTCCTTCAACAGCTACATTGCTTACAGGCTGCATAAGGATTCTTTCCTGACCCAGCCCACCAAGTAAGAACTGAGGCTATATAGTATGTGTGTGAGCCTCACTGTGTGCATATTCCCAGTCTACCGGTCTCCTGTGCACTATAGTCCTGCCCAGCCCACAGTTATTATTCATAATGATATTCGATAGCCTCTATAGTCAGAGGGATTTCCTCAATGGCCTTTGGCACTAAGCCCATAGCTCTACTTGTTTTTACAGCTCAGTTGGAATATGAGGTGCTAAAAACCAAAGAAGTTGGTCAGAAATTTTAAAACTCCCTGAACTAGGCCCTGGTCCCACAAATGTCATCCTGGGTACAAACAAATGACCCAGCAATCAAGAGCTTTATCTCTTTATTGGACCCCATTTAAGTTAGGCAATTGCACAATTGCTGGAGCATCCAAACCTGTTCAGCATACTTTGTTAATATGGTTATATTGATGCATGTTTTGTCTTGCACTCAAATGGAAACACTTCAAATTACAGCAAGACTGAGAGAACAGAAAATACTTTCAATATGTGGGCAATTTCTGCAAGGTCAAATGGAAAACTGGCTTTTATCGTGGACAGGTTCTGCAGCATGTGCAGCTTACTGGATGCTATATTATTGTAGCAAGATTTAATAATGTTGTTATTCATTTCTAATGGGATATTTTGACTGCTGGTGTATTGATGGCAGAGGTCAGACTCATGATTCATCACAATGTATGTTTGTAACACTACTAGGGAGATCCATCAGGCGGGTCTTCCCCCATCTTACACCATTATCCTGCTTTTCCGCCTGCTGGCTGACACGACCTCCGAGCCTTTTGATATCTGGCAGATTTCTGACAAAAACCACAACCCCGAGGTCGGAGTCACCATCAACCGTAAGCCTTCTATTTTTGGGCTTCAGCTGGAGTGGGGAGCTCCTTTGTTTCTGACTCTTACCATATTTACAGAAAGTTAAAGCTAATTGATTTTTGTAAGATACGACCAGCAGTACAAAGAAAGCCTTGGCAGCATATTGAAATAAACATGGTTGACTTAATATACTGTTCTGAATGTCATTCTGATTTTTGATTTGGCTTGTCTATTTATTCTTATATTGAAAGCCCTCACTTTTAAATAAGAATCTTTTGTAGTTGTGTGCTTACACACCTGGTAAATTCATGTAAATAATTATGGGCATGGACCTAATCCCTCCTAGCCTTCTCTTTATCCCTCTCCTCTCTACGACCATATGTTCTGTATAGTACGTCTGTGCTTTGCGTGCCATCGCATTGTAACACACTGTCAACGATTCATCACAAGCTCTTCTCTTTTCAGCTTCCAGTAAGACAATCATGTTCTACAACAAGGACACCCGAGGAGAGATCCAGAGAGCCACATTTAATGAGGAGCAAGTGAAGCGGGTTTTCCATGGCAGTTTCCACAAGGTAAACACAATGCATGATTCTCATGGAGGGGGGTTCTGTGTGCACTGCATAGTGATATTATTAAAGCTGGCTTTAATAGGACAGACAGAGAATGTTTTTGTGGTTACCTATGGTCATGCTTCATTCAGCAAATTGTTTTCATTTTTTTCACTTCCTTTCACACATATTGTTTTTAAATCCTTTCATATGTCTCTTCACATGTGTGACTTTAACCCCTCATTTCAGTCGGCTGAATTACCTGTTAATGTGAAACAGCCAGTGCCATGTAGGAGTATCATGTTACCTGTCAGAGGTTCCCTGCTACCTGTATCCAGTTGCAGTTTCAGGCTGCTGTCAACGTGGCTATTGGGGTTTTTTTATGATTAGACATAGAGTTTGTTTTTTTAACCAATGAGCAGTTAATTTGATAAATGGGTTGTGGAGGCTATAAATACATTTAAGGAGAGGTTGGAGGTGTATTCTGTGAACCTCGGTGACCCAGAATAAGGTACAAGCTGTTACAGACATCCATGGAGGTCTGACTACATAAAGATGAGAGACCATCCTGGTAGTAATGTGAATTTCAAACTAGTCTACCTTTCAGGAGACTTATTTTGTATTGGGGTTCAGCTAAGGTTGGGTTCAAAAATAGCACAAGGAATTTCAAAAACAGATCCCTAAAGTCTGCATATGTTTCCGCACAATAAGCAGACTTGCTGTTTCTTTGAGGACATTCTACAATGATTCAGTATTGTACTGAAAGACATTATATAAAGAATTTCCAACATCACACCGAATGAGTCCAAAATATCCTGACTTTTAGTTCCTACTAAGGGTCATTCCTTAAAAGTACTGGATCCTACTGTACATGCCCCACATTCCAGTAGTCTTTGATTAGACTTTCCCTGGCTGGTACACTTCCCATGTCATTCAAACTCCACATCTTTCCGCTACCAATTAAATTGCTATCAAGCTCAGTCTGAAATAACCCTGAAGACATCATCAGGATTATTTTTGTACACTAGACAAAATTCTTTGAGAGCCATAGAAAACATTCACAGACTGCTTAGTAACCCACAAGTAAACTTTGTGTGTAAAATTGGTAAAGTTCCCCTTTAACCTTTTGCTCAACCCCCAAAAATAGAGGGCCTAAGATTGTTAGTGTGCATTAAGGACACATAGTAGTTGCATATTATTTCCCCAAAGCCTAAAGATTTAAACATCACGAGCAGTGGATTAAAATGTTGAATCCAGATGTTTACAACTGTCTCTATCAAACTCTTGACTCTGAAATAAATCCATGTCATCATTGACCAGCCCATTGATGTAAATAAATTAATGAATATACTCCTTTACGAGAGTGTCTATTGAAAATATTTTTAGCATCAACTATTAGTACATCCATTTGACATAAAGTAACTACCCACAGAGATATTGTTTTGCAAACTCAGAGGTTTGACTACAACACCAGTACAACATGGCAAACCTACAATTTGTATAGTATGGACTCTGGGTGCTGAACCACCTAATGCCATCATGTCCGACTCAAAGCAGCAGGGAATACAAAACATCCTTTGTTATGTTCCACCACAGCATGGTGTCGAGGGTTGAACAATGAACAGTATATTTTATGAACTGGAATGGCTTGAGATGATAGAGGAGGAAAAACAACTAGTTCCAGTGTACTGTGAATTATGTACAAAGGCATTACAGTTTGTTCCCAAGGACATTGTGCCTCCTTTTCCTTTAATTCTGAGGTAATCAAAGTGAATGACCCTTTTTAATGTAGCAGGGTCTTACACAACATCAAAGTTTGTCCACTTGCTGATGTTACAGAGTCCAGTTTTTGAACTGAGGGGCTGATGAGAGTGATATAGTGGTCCTCAGATCAGAGCATGCTGTAAATGGGTTTTCAGATTGACCATTTAGCCACTACACAAGTAATTGCGGGGTAACTTTGTCAATGAATAGAACGCTGGGAAATGTTGGGTCAAGTCTGGGTCTAAATGAAATCACTGCTGGTCTAGTTGGACAGCAGCCTAGTCTGTGTGCTTGTCCTGCAGTGTGTTCTCTCAGTCTGGTGTAGACTGCAGTCTGAATGCACACTGGGTGGCTAGTTTGTGGCACAGTAGTTGTTATTCCAAGAGCTGGTGAGTCTGCAGCGGTGTACCTAGCTGCTTATTTGCTGGTCTGCTGAGTAAGTGCCACTGCTGACAGCTGTGGTGGTGTGTTCACATGTTGTCAGAGGTTTCCCAGCACTTCATCCGTGGCTTTTACAACATGACCTCAGTGTGTGTATGTGTGTGTGTTGGTGCTGAAACCAGAGTGACCAGTGACGAGGCTGTCTTTGAGTATTTAGTCACAAGTGGCACTTAAGCTTATTGTATCTATTGATCTACAGATTATTTTCTCATTTAAACGATTAAGTGTTCAGTTTGTAAGATGTCAGGAAATAGTTATTATCTTATAAACATATAATAGTACATAATTGTTTTGTGCAATTTTATTTAAGCACATCTGGAGCCTATATCATGGTTTTACCTGGCAGTTTATTTTGACAGAGCTTGGACACAACCCTCAAGTATAAAGGTATGCATTGCTTGTAGCAAGTCTATGGTTAAGAGGTGAACTGCAGTTTGTTTTTGTCACATGTTACATGCACTATGTGCTTTGATACTGCACTACTGGGTCAGAGAGGGTTTTTCTCTACTGGCTAGTTAATAAAGAGTAGTCTAATCCAGGCTGGAGAGGGTTGTGGTCTACCACTAGTTGAACATGTGGGAAAGCTCTCAAAGATGACTTCGGCAGATGCTAGCCACTCACTACCCCACTGGGGAATCCCCTCCCACACTCAGAGGGTTGGAGGCCTTCTTAATTTCCTGTTAACTGAAATGAAGAAGACATTATGCATAAGTCATAGGGACTAGTCATGTGTCCAGAGTCACATTAGTGAATGTTTGAGCATGTAAGTTGTTGTAGACACCAATTAGTGCACTGTAGTTTGCCTCCATGCTGTAATGTACACACCTTATTGTTCCTCGAGAAGTCTTGAATTCACTAATAAACTAATTAAGACAGAGGGAGAGGTGAAGCCAAAGCACTCTATTATGCTGGCTTTTAGTTTTTTGTCCACTGACTGCACTCTTTGAGCTCTTCACTTGTGACAACTGACTGTTTTTTCAGTGACCTGAGCAAATAGGCTTATACTAGATTTTACACTAAATATCTATTTCCTTTTATTTTCAACAAATGCTAACTTAGTTGCATTTTATTAGAAAAGACTCACACCTGCTAATTAGTATATGGATGAAATTGTGGCTGTGAGGCCTTCCAGCTTTGGGACTGTGAAAATGGAGGAACAGTCAGGACAAAGCCAAGAACAATAAAATCTAATCTGATAAATGCACTGGAGCATATATGGTGTCAACCTGAAATCTTACCATATGTACTCTGAGTGTGGAGTGTTGACTCAGTGAAGCACAGTGGGACTCTCTGTGTTACCACTTAAAGACCGACTGTTTCTCTGTCAAAGCTTCACTGCAGTAGGAGCCTCAGCTGAGGGAACAGTGGTTTTCCATAGTTTTTATTGTGTCTACTTATAAGTCAGTGAGGTAATATATACATGCTGATTATTTGCCATCCCAGTATATCATCCAAAGTTGTTTTGGTAAGCTCTCAAGATCATGGTACAGTATATCCATGCCAGAATGGTGGGATAAATGACACCCCTCTCTCATTGTGGTCCACCAGATAGTTTGTTCTGTTGCCAAGGATGCCAGTGTAATTTTGTTATTGGTTGCCAAGAGCTATGGCCTAGTCTGTGGTCGGTATGGCTTTGTAAAAAGAACTGGTAGCTTGCTTTTCCTGACAAAAAGAAAGCTTGCCTCACTGTTCAGAAGGGGCGTGTAGGACGTTTGGTGGCATACCGCTAATGATATGGTTTCAAGATGTGGAGCTGGTCTCTCTGGAAAGGAAACCAAATCTGGCACTTTGCCATTCTGTGTTGTTATGCAGTCAGTGAATGCAAGTTATTGCTGCATTGAAATGCCAATTGTTGTCATTTTCTTTTCTTTCTTTTTTTTTTTTGGTTTACCCATTTTCAGTCCTATGTCAAATCCCAAACCACTCTGGGGTAATATCACAATCTATAATTAACATAGTCCTGCAAAGACTCAACAATTCCCTAAATATACCAATTATGTAGAATACAGTATCAGCATCTTTATGAGCTTCAGACAACATGATTTAAGAAGGCTCACTGAGGTTGTTCCTAGCTTATGGTTACAGTGAACTCAAGAATTCTTCTGCTCTTGCAAAGGGCTGTCATGCCTCTTCCAAAAGGAAATGGATGCCAAGCCCAGCTTTTCTAAATCTAAGTCTTCCTAATTCTTTTTGCCAAGTAATTGTGTGTAATTGTGTTGCACCAAAGCCGGCAGCTGTCAGGTACTGGGAAGACAAGAACATTTTGGTAATAATACCCTCTCTCAATCTTCTCTCTCACTCCTGTAGCTCCACATCAGCGTTTCTCCAGAGAAAGTCAAGCTCAATTTGGACTGCCAAGAGGTGGCAGAGAAGCCCATCAAGGAGGCCAGCAACATCACACTGGATGGCTACGAAGTGCTGGGCAAGCTGGTCAAGTCTGGAGGTGGAAGGAGGCAGTCTGCTACAGTAAGTAAAAAGAACTCAAATCATTGAAAATCATATTAGAAAAAACAGGTTTGGAAGAGCATTGTGTGTAGATGCACAATTAATTTTAATTAGCTTTTGTTGCAGAAAAATAAAACCCTGGTTGTTTCTACTTCTCTGAGGATGTCACTGTTATCTGTTTTCAACATTTCATTGTGAATGGGAGCTATTTGGAACACCTGCTGACGTCTTTCCCTCCTTCTGTTGTGTAGTTCCAGCTTCAGATGTTCGACATTATCTGCAGCTTGAGCTGGATCAGCCGAGATAGATGCTGCGACCTGCCCGCCACAGTAAGAACAAGTGTCACTGTAGTATCATTTAATAAACAAGTCAAAAGGTTGTTTACAGAAGCACTACTGGGATATCTTCCTCTTGTACCTTTTTGGTTTTTAGAGCTACCTGGTTATGAGAATTGATAGGTCATTGCAACCTTATGTACCCTATGCGTGTATACCTTCTCGGGGTTCACATTTTAGGTTATACAATATATATCTACTGGCATGTGGTCATTAGGTAAAATGCAAGTCTGATAACAAGACAATGCCTCAGCTGAACTGAACAGAACCTTGTTTCCAGTGCCAGTCAGACTGTTACCATTATGACCTCCCAATTACAGTACATGAAAACCACTGATCCTTCAGATCACCCAGCAGAGCAAATCCCACGCATTTGGACACATTATGGTAAATACCAGATGAACTCACATTTATTTAATTTTAATTCTGTCATTTGCATCAGCTATTAATACACCACATTAATTATGTCAAAGACTAATTTCCAAAATTGTGGACATAGTTTGCAGCTATCATCAAACGTCTGGTGTTCAAGTCCCACTTTGCTGATTCCAGGCACATTTTACTGCTCCATCATGACCTTTGCTGGGTTTCTAAACTGTCTGTTCTTCTTAAACAACAACCAACCATAACAATATTCCTCTGCAGAGCCCATTCATTTCTATTTTCTAATTTCGGTATCTTCTTGTCTCTTCGCTCTCAGAGAGATGAGGCCAAGTGCCCAGCCCTTCCCCACTCCTGCACATGCACACAGGACAGCATCGGCCCTCAGGGGCCTCCCGGACCATCGGTAAAGACACTATCCAGACACATACCACTATCATGCTTTTTTCATCTCCTCCTCTTCTCCTGATAGAATGGTTTTCTCAGAAGCCATAGACGTTTTGATGGTGATGATAATGCCATGCTTTCCTCTGTCAGTGACCTTCTTGACATTTCTGTACAGTTTGAGCTTAAGTAAACTAAAGATGTCCCTCACATCAGAAGTGGTGTTTTCTTTTCCTCTGGAATGAACAGTTGTGGATGAGACCAGTGGCATGCAGTGAAATGTGGGCTTAGGGAGAACTGTCATAAGATAAATGGCTGTCGGAAAAACAACAGTAAAAAAAGTCTTGAGGAGAAATCTGGAAGATGTGTGCTTGGTAAACTCACTAGGCTCCAGTGTAGAGCTTGGAGTTTTAGGGCTTTTGGAATCTGCTCCTGTTGTTACACAAACTCTGTTTTTCTGCCTCATCGCATTTCCAGGGCAGCCCGGGTTCCAAGGGACCTCGAGGGGACAGAGGAGTACCCGGCAACAGCGTGAGTTAAATCACTTGAAGCATACTATAAATTGTTATCGGTGTTTATTTATGTTTTGATTTCACTTTATTTTACAGTCATTAGTAGGTGACCTTCTCACCCCTGTAGCATTTCAGAAGTCTGAGTTTAAAGGTTGTCTGAGGGGGGGGTTCTTTTAAGGAATATAGCTATAAAACGGCTTTGTTTTACATCTGGATAATGCTGTAGGGTCCTATGGGTCCACGTGGTGAGCCAGGACTCCGGGGCGCAATGGGACCACCGGGTCCACAAGGCCCTAATGGCCTGTCTCTACCTGGAGAACCTGTAAGTTTACTTACATTACAAACCATTCATAACACAAGACATGGGGAAGAAAAAGTGATGTGTCAGCAGTAGATTAAATTTAATGTATAAGACAGACATTATCCCTTATGATTAGTGCACATGGTGAATGTGCAGAATGTGCAGTTTGTGTGCAAGTTGTAGAGCTGAAATATTCTCTGTGTGAGTGAGATTTACAACTGACATCAAAATACATTAGCCTCCCTGCAGATGTTCTTGTCAAAACATGAAATCAATCACAGTCAAAGACCAAAAAGGATTAAAAGACTAAAGCTTTTTGCAATCCTTTCTTTTTTGCCTCATCTGCTTTCAGGGTCGCCCGGGACCAAAGGGAGATCCTGGAGACCCTGGTCTGTCTGGCCGGCAAGTAAGTACTCCCCTCTCATTTTGTGGTTTATGAACAGGAAACAGGAGACCGTCTATGGGGAGCAGCTCTGCCACTGGAGCCTTGATTCAGTCCACATGGCGAGATTGAAACCACACTCCGAGTTGGAGGTTTACCGTGCCATCCTCAGGGAGACCCTCGGTCTCAAATCAGCCCATTAATTGACAAACAGTAGAAAGCCAGTGATGTAGTTACATTATTATGAAGAACAGTCTTGTGTTACCAAAGGGAAAACAAGGAATGGAACATGTTCTTCTCCAGCCTTGTAAATGAACATGATGGTGACTTGATGAAGACTTGAAGTCTGAGCATCTTTGACTTACAGTCAGAGCCCAAATTGAACTTTTTGACTCACCAGCTAAGGCAGCACATGGATAAATCCACTGACCGAGCTAATTTTTTAAAGACCAACAAAAATTTTGTGTCACATATACTTTTGTTTCAGTATTTCACTGAGATAAGTTATGTTGAATACAAACCTAAACAGGCCATAGCAAAATTTGAAGCAAAAATCACTTTAATATATTGATCAGCAGTTAATACATTCATTAAATTCATACTTTAATTAAGATTTAAAAGCCAGAACACAATGGAAGAAGTCTTACTCTCAAAACTCTACTGAAACTGTTGCTATTAAGTGAACTGCTACTCGGGCTCCTCACTGCCCAAAGCATTCACCTTCTTATTTTCCACGCTCGCTTCTCTGTTTTGGGGTTTGGCACACGTGCACACGCTCACCCGTGTTCCAAGGCTGCCTGGCCCTACTCTTCCTCTGATTAGTTATTGGTTGTTGTTTGGTTAGACAGGCTCAAATATAAAGTATAAGGCTTAGAGGGCCGGTCAGGGGCAAAGTGAGGGCGAGTCTTTGCCGGGTCGGTGTGTGTGTGTGTGTGTGTGTGTGTGTGTGTGTGTGTGTGCTGGGCTCCGACACAGATTGAGGACAGAAACAGAGGGCCCTTAAATCAAAACGTAGTAGACACCCTCAGGATAGTGTTTTATTACATGAATATTTTGTTACAAACATTTACCTGGCACTGTAGTAGATAGTTTTCTGCACTTTACTCCCCAAACAGAAAACCTACCGACATTTGGCGCTTGGCGGGTGTTAATGTTGGACGCTGCTCACAGTAGATGTCATCTGGGGGACTTCTTGGATGAAAATGACAGAAACAGATTTTAAACAAAAACACATTTTACATTACAGCTTTTTGATGGAAGGACATTTTTGACTGGGCTGGCATTACTATGCATAGCCATATCTTATCCAGCTGAGGTCATCCAGCAGACTCCTACCATTCAACTGGTTACATCAGCACTCATTGCTCTGGCTTCTGAATAAGCAAATTCAGACATGGGAGAAATCCTCATCCTCTGATCTTCAGCTCTGCCTGCGCACAGTTCTGCTAGACATGATGTGTCAACAGACACGAAAGTAATTGTTCCAGGTTTGAGTGGCAATATGATATAGTATATAGTTGGCTAAATAACTTGGAAACTGCAGGGGTGTTTTCTGAAATACTATAGTTCAACAGGGGTATTTGGGAGCTGTAGACGTGTTGTTCCTGATCATTTGCATTTGATTAACTGTGTCTGCTTTTTTTTTCCAGGGTCCTCCTGGGCCACGTGGTTCTCTGGGCCCCGTTGGACCAAGTGGAGCACGGGTAAGACCTGCCTCCAAACCAGCTTAGTGTACACACTATGTTAAAGCACATGTTTTGCACATGATTATCCACTTAGCTCAGTGCATACATTCCATGTTCTCCCTTGTATCAGTCAAAATAATTCAGCCAATATTTAAAATTTTAATTTACAGGCAGACTTAAGGTTGAAACCAATATAAAGTCTTAACACTGATGTATTACATGAATAGGGTCCCCAGTGTGTTATAACCAATGTGTGAGTGTGTTGTTTCTACATACAGGGGCCACCAGGGAAGGAGGGACCATCTGGACCAAGAGGTCCACCAGGGCCCATGGTGAGTGTGTGTGTTTGTGTCTTTGTGCTGTGCAAAAAAAGAGCCAAATAAACATTCCCTGGAGTGTGCTATACTTCCTGATATATCCACAACAATTAGTCCTCTGGCTTCACAGTTGCACTCTGCCGAAACAGTGCATACAGCAAAAAAAGTCTCTAGGCCTCTCCACTGCCAAGAAGATGGTGCATGCAGCTCATTTTCTTCTTCTGTGGTTTTGGGGAGGTCTGCATCTACTTAATCCAAGCATCATGCCAACAGGCAATATGCCAGTGTAGCTTTCATGTGCTCCACACCACCCAGGAGCCATTAGCAGTGCCTCGTGGTTGATGTGTATATGCTCCACCCTCCCACCCCCTCACTGCAGCATAGATATAGATCTCAACCTAAAGCTTGTTACCAACCATTAACAGGGAGCAGGAGTTAAATGTAATTGAGTTTACTGTGCAGTAATTCAAAATAAGCACAACATTTTCTGTTTTGTTTTTCCTCTGTTTTCAGGGAAACCCTGGAAATCCAGGTGCGCCAGGAATTACTGGAAAACCAGGGAAACCAGGAGACACAGGAAACCCAGTATGTGTTTAATAAAAAGATACAAACTTATGGTCACATGGCAAAGTTTAGAAAAGGACAAAGTCAAGGGCATGGGTTGGTCTGACAATTGTCTTCTCATTAATAGGGACCTCTTGGCCCTAAAGGAGAGAAAGGAGAGAGGGTATGTATTGTTGTTATTGTCGTTATCATACATCATCAATGAGAAAAGTAACACCATGAAACAATCTCTCTTTTTTCCCAGGGAGACTTTGCATCCCAGAACATGATGCGCTCCATCGCCAGACAAGTTTGTGAACAGCTTGTGAACAGTGAGCTTTTGATATTCTGTAGGGAATTTTAAGGTTGTTCAAAGTCGACTCCAAATCTAACTGCTTTTCTTCTTCTTTTGCAGATCAGATGAGCAGAATTGACATGATGATCAACCAGATTCCAACTGGATATCGTAGCAACTCTCCAGGGCCACCTGGTCCTCCTGGTCCCCCTGGCGACCAGGGATCCCGCGGAGAGCCTGGACCACAGGGTAGAGCTGGTTTCCCTGGAGGCCAAGGTTTACCTGGGAATCAAGGGGAAAGAGGTGCTTTATTTCTCTTCTTCTTTTTTTTGTTTGGCTGAGCCATGAAATAATTAAAGTCATGGTGATATTGACTCTGCAGACTATAGTGTTGGTCCGACAAGAATGGAATAACAACATAACTGCATTACTTTGGTTATTCTAGACATGATTCAAGTCAGCTTTGCAAAAGATGGTTAAATACTGAATCTCTCCTGTAGTATTTTATGCATGCCATTTAGATTTCTACTCATTTCCAGATATTAGTGACTTTTTTTCTGTCAACTTGCTTTGGTGTGAAAGTCATTTCTTTTGTTTTTCTCTGGTTTATGAAGGTTTGCCAGGAGAGAAGGGAGAAAGAGGGGAGCCAGGAAATGGTATCAGAGGACAGAGAGGTTCAAGTGGGCCACCAGGTACCACAGTCCGTCGCTTTCTCCCTTTTTCTTCCAGGAACATAAGAAACCGTATTTTGTATTGAGCAGTGTTCTCCAGTCTTCTGACCTCCCACTCTCTCTTACAGAGTTCATCTTGACAAAGAAACTGTTGAACTGTGACAGCTTTCCCCTTTGGACCTTTCTAGGACAGAGTACTCCCCTTAGTTCAATTAAAATAACACCGTTCAGTCAGAGGGTCGCATTTACATATAGTACTTTGTTTGGGCAGCTGTACCACATAAATTCTTTGAGACAGCCCAAACATAATCTCAGGTTTTTTATTTCATAAGGCCCTTTTTGAGCTTTATGTGCACATTCAGAAAATGGAAGCTCTTTATGTTGATCATTAGCAAGAGAATCTCTGAGTGTAGAGTTTAGGCAGTCTCCAGTCAGTATTAAGTCAAGTTCATAATGGAGATTTAGAATTGGTAAAAATGTTATAAGGCTGAAGTTTTGAAGTGAATTTTCTCAGCTATAATTGATATTCAATGTGTATTCTGTGAAAAAAAAGTTCACCACTTCCAAAAATTTCCTTTCCCTAAGGAAGCTAGCGCAAAACAACAGGAACCTGCTATTAATGTCTGCCCCAAACAGTGACATGTCTGTTTGTGTGACTGAAGTGAGAAACAACTGAGGGCCAGTGGGAGGGAATCAACACTGATGATTCACTTTTGTGTTTGGGAGAATTAGATTGTTGTACAATGAGTTTTTTGGTGGCCTCATCGACAACACATGGGTTCACTTAAGGGAGAGAAAACGAGAGAGAGGGGGAAAATTCCATCCTGACTTTTTACTGTCTAGACAGATGGGGCCGGGGGTCGGGTAATTCCACACAGCCCCAGACTCTTTTTTTTTTTTTTTAAATTGAGCTATTGAAACATTTAAATTACAGCCCCACAGCCCCGTGTTACCCCCACCATTTCCACCAACATTTACGGATGATGTCAGTGGATTTTTGTGCTTAACTCCAGAGACATCTCTTCCAAAGTGGCCTCACGCACCGTCTCTCTCCCTTCTTCAGGGCCACCAGGAGAGTCAAGAACAGGACCTCCAGGTCCTTCTGGTTCCCCTGGGCCAAGCGGCCCTCCAGGTCGCCAAGGTACTCCTGGGGTGAGGGGACCTCCAGGACCCCCTGGATACTGCGACTCCTCTCAGTGTGTTGGCATTCCTTACAATGGACAAGGATACACAGGTACACGCAGTACTGTCTAGGTTCTGCATGGCACAGCTTTAGGTCAAAGACTATGTGTATGCAGACTAATTACATATGCTCAGTGCACTGCTTCTTTCTTTGATAATGTATGGAGATATGGATTATGTGTTCCAGAGAAGATATTTTTGCACAGAAAGCAAACATATTTGCATAAGTAATTTGTTGGCTAAGCCCTTTTACTCCTACATTAATGTTGCTATGCTTGTCAAGCTTTTGTGTTGGTGGCAGATTTACTATTGGAATTCTTAGTTAATGTTTAAACAACAGGCCCATAATTTCAGACAGAGCGAAACCAAAGCAGCTTCACATTTCTAGCCAGTGACTATTAGTTTTGTTGGCTGAAATGATAACTGTCACTAACAGGGGATATATGCTGCAACTACAGTAGCTAGCTAATTAAGATAACAGTAGCATCATGAGTGGCCTGAAAATGCCATAACAAGCTGACTTCTGAGATTTATAAGTGTTTGGCAGTTTAGTTTCCATAATTGGACAAACAGTGCAGGGTCAGATATTTATTAGTTTTACACTTTATTTTTCATATGTTCACTAATGATAAAAGAGAAAAGACTATGGGATTTATGGACTAATCAGCATGTTTGGCATTAGTAAATCAACCTTAGCTGGGGTTGCTGGAGAGTAAACTTCCCCAAGTCTAATAAAGAGCTGGACAGAGCCTCTAATGTTAGCCCTCACTCTGATATAACAGCATCAAGGGCAAACTTCCACACAGTGGAGAAACACTGTACAGGGGATATGGTAATTGTGAATGAGCCCACTTTTTAAAGTGTGAACATATAAGATTTAGGTGTGAAATACTCCTGGGTTGGAGGTAGAACGCTTGTTAGCCAGTCATGATAATGACTGCATCTTAATTTAGAACACACAAACATGCTGTTTAATCCATTCCTTTTACCCTTATGACTCTTGTACTGTAAATAAAGACACCACCCTCCAAACATCATATGTGCTGTTACTACAGCTCCATGGGGGAAATCCAAAGCTTGACAAGCTGCAGTGCTAAGTTACTATTGCTAAACTAGGATTGCCACAATATTCCCATACCTCCATATATTTGATGTACAATTTTAAAACTGGCATGTAAAGCATTCTAGTTAGTGGTTTATGATGACTTGCATTAAATGAAATAAGATGCCTTTGTTTCACAGAGAAAACTCACACCCTCTTTGAACTGTTTTCAGGTTTGGCATAGTAAACCTTCTAAGTCACCTGTGCTGCTTACTCTTTGGCGTCCTGTTTCTGAGATGTTTACCCATTTGCTATGGGGCATGTAAGGATAATCACCATGGACATAATTACTGAACATTAAAACAAATATTACAAAAAGCCCAAAAAAAAAAAAAAAAAGAACAAAGCGGACTGGCACTAACATCATCTCACAGCTGCAAGCTACAGTACAGTGATGGCAACCTGCTGGCCTGTTTGCATCTTGAACCACAGGAAAATGGGAGTTAAAAAAAACAAAAACAGAGACTGAGCATTTCTACGAAGGAAGGAGCATGTACAAATACCATCCAAAGCAACTACTAACAAAGAGGACTTCATAACTGAAAGCAATGTTAATGTAGAGGCCACGTGTGTAAATAAAACTAATTTTTTTTTTTTTTTGCCTTGTAAATGATTGTATGAACCGGACATTTCACTAAAAGTCAAGTTAACATCTGTATTGAGCTTGTGCCTTATAACCCTCTGCTTACTTACCATCAGCATAACATCTGTATACAGCGCCTTAAGTGGTCCTGACTGAAGCATGTTCCATGTGCACTTCGTCATGTTCGTTGTGTACATCAGCCAAATCAGCGCTACATGTTGCTCTTCTGCCATTTCCATGTGTCTTTTGTAGTACCAGCTGGTTATTTTACTACATTTTTATTACTGATGGTTTTTATTGTACATGCTTAATTAGCCTTTTTGGTACTCTAGGAAGCTGCAGTTTGACACAAACATGTTTTTTTTTTTTGGAAATCCATAGTGCAATATTATTTAAATTGTGCATGTGAGAAGTTGTAGAAGGAATCCTCTTTTGATTGGCCATCCCGAATACTTTTCTAGCCAACCGCTACCAGCCTGAACCTGAGGTAGTGTCTATACCTGTGGAGCCAGCTGGAGAGTTTGAGACTATACAATCACCAGGTTACTCACAAAACCAGCGAGGAAAGAGATCACTAAAGAAGACAATACTGACAGTATAGAAACATTAGCATTACAGCTTGAATACGGAGTTCTCAGAAAGTGTAATATTGGAATCACTTCCTTGATCACTTAATGTGATGACAGAGTGCTATTCAGAACAAAGCTAATACTTATATGGGTTTGATACCCCTGGCTATACTGAACATATATTTGTTTGACATGAGAATGTTTAGCAAGATTAATACAAACCTATGTTCGTTCATTACAAACCTGTGTGCTTGCTAAGTGTTTCCCTTTAATAAGTGTCTGCTTGTAATATAACTGCAAGTGTTTATCGGACTCTAATGTGTAATGCACTAGTCATGTGATCACCAGTGGAAATCGTGTCGAAGGAGGTATGTTTTTGAACACTTTCAGGCCGCTTATGTTGTTTTTGTCAAATTCCATTTTGTAAAGCTGTTTCAGATACTCCATTGCTAAAAAAGAGAAAAAAAAGGGACACTTCATTTTATCCCCAATGATTTGTTAATTGTAATGTCATGTGCAGCCTGCAAACCAAATGATAATCTAACTGATTGTAACAAACCAAAGTTTTTGTTTTTTCTTGTGGTGGAATTGCATGTTTGCGTTGTGTAGTTACTGAGGATTTCTAACTCGGAAAATAGTTGCTGTTTTCTATCACTGCAGTTTGGATTTGGTTGCAAGACTATAGACATAGAATTTCATTTCATTTATTTGTGAATTCCACACAGCCGTATTTTTCTTATTTATTTCTGGAACAGAAGAGGCATTTTTCAATAAAACTACTGAAAATGTAGTGTTTGTTTCAGCTTTCCAGTTTTTTTGTCTTTGACTGATAACTTGAACTATTCAGAGTATCTGTACAGCAGTGGTGGAAAGTAACTAAGTACATTTACTCAGGTACAGTAAGTATAATTTAGAGGTATCTGTATTTCAGCATTTTCATTTTGTTACTTCATACTTTGACTTTACATTTTACAGGCAAACATTGCACTTTTGTACTCCACTACATTTTTTATAACTTTAATTACAAGTTTCTTTTCAAAACAAGATTAATGCTAATCATAAGACTTTATTGATTTCCAGTGGTAAATTCACGTGTTACCCAGCACTACTTCAAATTATGAGCATAAACTGTAAGCTAGTTAAAACTAGCTCCTTCTTTAGCAGCTGCAACTTAAATGTGATGTACACAACAATACATCAGTAATGATAATACAATAATAAGATATACATTATTGTTAAATGCACCATTCTACATGAGTACTTTTATTTTTAGTGTATGTTTTAAGTATATTTTGATGCGAACTCTTGTAATTTTACTGAACTTACATTTTGAATGCAGGACTGTTACTTGTAACAGAGTATTTTCACTGTGGTACTGCTACTTTTACTTAAGTAAGAGATCTGAATACTTCTTCCACCACTGCTGTACAGTACATGGTGTATACAACCAAAACCACTTATAGCACACTTATTAGGAGAAAATCTTAACAGATCTAATGATGCCTCAAAGAAAATAGATGAAACTGATTTTATTTGATCTCAGCTGACAAAGCCAGTTCCTCCTAACATCAGGGCTGGACAGGGTGCACTTTGAGGTAGGGGCCTTTATTTAGTTTTACATCAGTCAAGATCTTTTGCGCCATCCAGAATGTCAGTTTGTGTCAGGGTTAGAGCTAGAAAACAAATTGTCCATCATTTAATCATTTCCAACATATGAACTGCTTCCCAGTCTTTGACATACACCCACTTGGCTTTTGTCGTATCAGGTTGTAATGATTATCATAGATTTCCATGAAGAAAACATGCAGATTTGATTGGGCATACACCAGACCTGGGAAACACAGATTTCCACCCATTAAGCATAATAAATGGTGAAATAAGAGATGCATGAGGTACGGAACAAGTGACATCATTTATCACGATGAAGTGAAAGCACGTCTGCGGGGGAGTTCTGCACAAATACCGGAGATAATGAATGGGGGGGTGAGTGAGGTGGGGGCAATGGTACAAGAAAATATGGGAGAATTCTTTTATGAACTCTCTTGAATAATTTCCTAATGTGCACAAGCAAATTATGATGCAACTCTAGAATATCTGGGAATTTCGATTAGAGTTTGTAGACGTTTCTCTATCAGGAGAGTCAGAGATCCCTGCAGGTACAGTGGGAGTGTCGGAACAGCTGGTGCATATTAGTGGGAAAGGAGGCGAGTTTGTGAAAGCACTTCACAGGGCTTAAAAAAAGTTTACCATGTTAAAAAAAAAGACAGGCTCCTATAAATCTCCCTTTTGAGGTACACTGTCATTGTCATACAGTATATGGTCCCACTTCATGATGTGGCTTTTCTATACTTAGAGCAACACACCCAGACATGCTGGTTGTATTGAAATGTGTTTACACCTGTTACGAGTTTTTGTTTTAGCATGAGTCAATGACACTGTCCAACACAACACTGCAAGTATTTACATCCCCCTTTTTTCCACCACAAGCAATCACAGTGTTTACTGTACCTACTAGCTAACAAGAAACTGTCCTCACTGACGCCTGATACCATCCTCACTGTGACCCTGTCTGGTTTCTGTCTTCTGATGTCTTTAATTCCAATCCAATACAGCAGGCATCTGTGTTCATTTTGTGGCAAGAGTTTCAAGAGGGCTGTTCCAGAGTCTGTGGTTGTTAAAGATTTTAGCTAACTCCAGTTTTATCTCCAGTTGTCCCCCTCACAAACAGCAGACAAAATGTCTCTTCCACAGCAGTGGGTAGGACTGTTTTTATGTATGTTTAAAGAATTAAAATAAAAATAATTTAAGAAAGAGTTTGACATTTGGGGAAATAAACCTGTCGGCTTTCTTGCAGAGATTAAAGCCTGCAGGCAGCATAGTTTATCATTAAGACTGGAAACAGGGGTAAACATATGGCAAGGCCTTTTAACATTTTAATTAGAGCTGCTGCTGGTTTTAATTTTGTATTTATGATACAATTAAATGTGAACTCTTCTGCAAGAATAACAGCAGTAAATGAAATGAGCAAAGCTCAATACAGCAAAAAACACTGCAAGAGATTGTTCTCGTATTTTTTCTTAAACCCTTTATGATTAATTTATGCCATTAATCAAGTAGACTAGTTTATAGTGAACTCTTGCACAGTGTTTAATGACATAACAGAATGAAATCTTGGATGTGGGGCCAACACATAAGATGAATGAGCCTGTTTTAAAAGTGATCATAGGAGATGGAAAAGTAAAATTCTGTTTGAGCTTTTAGGAACATTATGAGAGTGCTGCATGAGAATTGATGGGAGGACTGCTAAATCATGCTGATTATCTGCAGTGGAACCTAAAAACATGTGGAAAGTTTTCATTTTTTTCATGTTAAAATATAGATCTGCTCAAGTAATCTGCTGTACAGTGCAGTCAACAGCCAACAGGCAGACTCAGCATGTTCCAGTGAAAAAATGTTTTCGACATTTTGAAAATATACTTATTAATTTTCTTGTAGTAATACTAGATGACATATACAACATATCGTTTAAAAGGAATACAGCTTCATATATAGAGTTCATAAAAATGGCCACATCTAATTCTTGGCAAGAAAATGAAACGTATTCCCCAAAATGTTGAATGATTCCTTGAAGAACACTGGCACCAAACATTTTGCTCAAGGTAGAAATGGGTTCCGTTTTGGATCCGGTTCCAAATGAATAAAATACCCAGACTTGTGAAGCACTACAGCAAATAATTTCCCTTATAGACCTTGCAATGTGCATTCTCTGTTCAGTGTAGTCTCTTTTGCCTCTGCCACTACAGGTATCAGCAAAGACACCTATACAAACATTTGAACTGACACTGCTGCTGAAATGCATGACTGAGGATACATTTGGATAATGGGAGAGATTAACCAATATGATCTTCAAATGCCAATAATAATAATACAGCTTTTTATTTGATGGCTATTACTATTCTGTTTAGACTATGTTTGTTTGTTTACAAAAATTTTATTTTTGGCAGCATTTAGAGTATATGACACACTGACACTCATACTTCACAGTAAAATGCAGCAGAGCAATTTATCGTTATGGATATGTTTGATACTTTTGTAGATTTCTATCAAAAACACAAAATACAGTAAGTTAAGGCCTTCCCCAAAACTGTGCTATCACATTCTATTTTATGTAATCTCACTTTATCATTAATGTGGCTTAGAACAGGAATCACTGCACAAATGGAACCAGATACAAATGTATACGAGCTGCTTCACCTAAAGTAGCCTCCCATCAGAATCTGATTCCTGACTTGCCAAACAAAACTTGACAAAGGAATGAAGCGATCCTTTGAACTGTAAGAACAGGGGGTTGACTCCCCAGAGAGCAGATATTCAGTCAACATGCTGACAGAAGGTTCCACTGACTGAAATGCCAAAAGCAACAGTCCTCTCAGGATACGAGAAGAAGGAAGCCAGCAGATCTCCAGCTGACCTGGTAAAAAAAAAAGGTTTGATTTTGAATTATTCCTCTTAAAATGCTATGTCCTTTGTCCTGCCCATTACCTGTCACCAAAATGTCTCCCAGATGGGTAACTAAATAAGAACCTGCTGTGTATTAGCATGTATGTTGTAGATAAAAACATTCTTGACCCCTTCTAGTGGGCCCTACTACTGCTGCTTATAACATTCTATAATTTAAGTCACTAACACAGTAAATGGTCTTACATAGTGCATTTCTGCTCCCATGTTATGCTGTTATGGTGTTAAGCTGTCTGTTCTCTATTGCTGCTGAAACACTGAAATTTCCCCATTGAGGGATCAATAAAGTGCCTACCTACCTACCTACCTACCTACCTACCTACCTACCATTTCTGTGCAGGGAAGCCCGGTCACCCACGCATCCACACACCAGAGGCAACTAGGGGTTCAGTGTCTTGTGCAGGGACTGTGACATGTGGACTGGAGTAGTTGGGGATCAAACAGCTGAACCTACAGTTAGAAGGCAACCTGCTCTACCTCCTGATTCACAGCCAACCTGATAGACACACAGGTCAAAAAGAAGCTTAAAAAAATCTTCAAATTAGAGGCCAAGGGCTGAGCAGTGTGGTTGTATTTTAGTCTTGGTTGATTTGGCAGCAGCAGTGGTTACTGGTGATAATGCCATGTGTGGTTCAGCACTACAGCAGAAATACAATGAGCAGCTACTTTGTCAGAGATACTACAGATGTGTCTGCTTACAGAGCTGCTAAACAAACCCATGTTGATGCAATAAAGATGTCAGTCAAAAATAATTCCAACCGCGACCTGATTTCATGCTGCACAAGACATAAATATTTTTCCACACAACAGCAGGGCAATGCGAGGAGCTTGGAAGTTTGCTGAGAAGCTCATCTGCCTTCTGGCCCTTCTTGTTGTACCACCGCCTGTGTAAAAACTTCAAATGATCCACTGAGGAAAAATTGCTAAAAATGACTCTTCTTGTTTTCTACAGTCATTGTTGATGAATGGTCACAGTTACATGTAGCCCCAACAACCTGTGACTCTGATACACTTCATTTCCTGTTACACAATAAAAGCCACACTTTGTTTCTCCAGTTGCTTTTAATATGAAACAGCAGCAGGCTGTGGGGAAGTGAACAGTAAACAATGAGGCTGATATCAATGACCTAAAAGAGCATGCATTATCACTTGGGTGGTATCGTGACTCTGAATCCACCTTTGGAATAGCAGACTTCAGCACGAACTACTTAGACGTCTTAATACGCAATGTAAATACACTGATTTGCTGAAAAAACCCTACCATAAATAGCATCTAAAAACACAGTATGATTTGATGAAAATCTTAAGGATAATATTTTCTTTTTAAATTTGTGCACACAGTTTTGTAATGCAGCAGCCTTCCACCCAGCTCCTAGCTCTGCCCTCTGCCACAGGAAGCAGCACCTGCAGAGCCCAGCTGCAGACATCACTGCTCGCAGTGTTTTCACTTCCATCCCACCAAATGTTGCACTGATATTTGCAAAACGTCTGATCTCTAAGCTGAGATGGTGTGTTTATAGAGAGATGAGGGTGGTCACAGATGCTTTGTTGCTGTGGCTACAATACTAATGACGTGGAACTCATCTAGGGGCTGAATGTCGTAGGCAGGCATACTGGAACTGAAACAAATTGAAACTCAACATCCTTTCATATCACCAGTTGATCTAAGAACACAAAGTGGATGAACCCATTTACAAAATAATCAATCTGACTGTCTTTATATAATTTTTCTCCCAGTATTAACCAGTTTACATGATTATCATTTCCATTCTTCTCCATGTGAATGCAGCTGTGAATTAGTTTATTGGAATAAATCAAACCCACTTTTGACATGGTCAATCTGCTTTTGTCAGAGCTCACTTATTCTGCCTTATTTTCCAGTGAAGATTTCATTTACGCCATCTTGTTTTGATTAAGTTACATCCTCTTGTAAATACAGAAAAAACTGATTTCATGGGGGGACTGAGGAAAGGTTTAGTTTCTAAAGTTAGTGTCATGCTAAATGTCTCTCCTCTGAAGTGCTGTGGAACAGACCATGTATATTCATGCAGCCAGTTGTTAAATGAAATATAAGATGAGATGCAATTACCAACATGGCTTGGAGCATGGAGTATGTTTGACTTGTGGGACAGGCTACTATTATAGATAAGCACTTAATGATGAACAGATATCTCTACTGGACTGAAACATTCGGATTCATTTACACACAGTAGATAATTCTTTTTTATGTGAGTGTGATTTTCAAAGTCTAAAATCTAAAGTGCTGCTGATGACAGTACTAGAAGTGATCTCACTTGGTGAGATCATTGGTGAGTAGTTATTTTATCTTCTCAAGCTCATCTCATTTTAAAGGTTGTAGATGCCTGCAGCTCTGTAACAAAATCTGCCTACCAGAACCATTAAACATCGTGTATCTTGTTTGCTTAGGTGAGTGAGTGAGATTATATTGAAAGGATTTGGCATGGTGAATATGTGATCTATAAATTGTAAAGTTTCAATAAAGATTATTTATTTAGAAGAAGAAGAAGAAGAAGAAGAAGAAGAAGAAGAAGAAGAAGAAGAAGAGGAGGAGTGATGAGTATCCAGTATTTCTCTTTATCTAAAAGTATATTATATTTTTTGTGCTTTAATCATTTCTCGGGGCTGGAAGAGTTTAAAATATTCCATACATAAAAAGCAAAAATCATAGCAAAGCAAGAAAATAAGAACCTCTATGAGTTTCCTCTTCCTCTTAAATCCTTGTGGGCGGTCAGTTATGGAAGAGTAGCTGGACTAGACACAGCAAAGAGTTGATTCAAACAGTTGTGTGGGTGGTGGTGTGGGGTCCTGGCTGTGTGGGCTGGCCCAGTCCAAGTTCCCAGAGGATAGTGAGGAAAAACACTCAGTGGAATCAAAGGATAGTGCTTGCTTTCCTTACTGAGGAACTTTGAGAAACTCCTTAGCTTCCCCTTCCGGCCACAGCAGCTGGCAGAGCAGCTGTCATGATGAACCCCCAACGGAGAAAGAGTCACCATGACTCAGCTCCCAGAGGTGTCTGTGAATGTCTGAGAAGAGGAAAGCGTCTGCTGTTTTGGGAAACCCCTTGGTGAGACACAAAAATATATTTATACACATGGGTTGTGTTTTCATTTTTTTTTCAGAGGAAATTAATGGAATTAATGAAAGATTATGGTCAAAAGAGAAGAAAACTGAGCTGTAGGAATGTTCATCTCATTAATGTTAATGATGATAATCACTTTGATTGGCCACATATGTTACATACACAAGGGATATGTCTCCGAGGCAGCAATCTGCGGCACACACACACCAATGGTGACACCATCCCTGCAAGATGCTGTTCTGGTCATCAGGAGTAACTGGGGGTTCAGTATCTTGCCCAAGCACACTTTGACATGTGGAATGGGGAGAGCGGGAATCAAACCACCCACCTTCCGGTTAGATATTTCTGGCTTGAGTAAAATCCCCAAGGACAGTCAGAGCATCATCAAAAATTAAGATTCATTCTCTGAGGATCAAGAACATCTGCAGTCAGTTCATGGTAACTGGGGCCTTGCTGATGTTTTTCATTTCTTGCTAACATAATTGCAATTTGAACTCATTGAGTGTCTGGAAAGGGTTCATCTTCTGGGGACCTCAAACCTGCCAACTATATTTCATTATACTCACTATGTTTTGACATTTGGGAATGATTGTGGTGCCCAAAGTATCATTGGGTCTCGTTTCTATTTGAAGATAAGCATCACATTTCACAATGGTCTGGAGCTTCAGGTAATGGCCACAAGAATGACACTGAACACTAATGGCCGAAATGAGTTTATCTGGAAGGACAGCAGCATGTAACCATTGCTCCTTGTTGTCAAAATAATTCAGCTGCTGTTAAATCCATCTGAAAGGAGACAGCAGACCCAGACGGACTGGATATCCCATGTGACCAGGGATCACATACTATAGGACCTCTGCAGATTGGAGAACTATTTAGTTTTGATTGTATCTGAGAAAGCAGCAGTTCGTCTCCACATAAAATTCACCAGAATACTGTTTCTGTAAGACTGAGAAAACAGCTCTGATGTCTATCACACTGCTGCAGTAAACAAGTAGAGAACAGCCAGTGGCATAAAACTGCAGACACGGCAGCCTCACTAGTCACTTGGAAATATTTTACAGCTTCACTATGATGTCACCTGGTGTTTCCATCCATCTTTAAGGTTATCACAATAATGAAATGCAGTGCAGTCTTTGGAAGATGTTTATTTGTGTGCCAGTATTACAAATAAAACACCTCAAATTATAACATTAATCATGTGTTCTTTTGAACTCTCCTGCTTGATGACATGAGAAATTTTTCCCTCAGACTTTAAGGGGATTAAAATGATGGAGGTGCTGTGAAGTCTGATGATCTTCATCCGTGTGGGAGGGACATTCCAAGTAGATGATAGTGGAGGTTTTATACTGCTCTTCCTATCAGTGATGGATTTTACAGACCATCACTGTCTGTTGCTCACTGCTGTGCTGTGCTGTGGTCTTCCCTTTTCCACCACGAAGCATGTGTAATGGCAGCAGCTGGTCCTGTTTTAAATTGGATTTAGTGTAAGACAAACGTGTTGTGTCTATTCTGCAAAAGTAAAACACAAACAATATATTGATAATGATAATGATATTTCTATCTAACAACACAAAGAATATCTAATTGTTCTATGTTCTATGCAATAGTGAACAAGATGAACAACCTTTTTGTTCTTAACTGGGGCTTAATGAGTTGACAGCAATAATGGAGGCAGATTCATAATTTGAAATTATTACTTTTTGATAGAGTGGCTCCCTGATTTCATGCTAAAGTAGACAAAAGCAGGCTTCTCATGCCAGCTGTCACTAGCCATAACTAGCTAACTAATTAAGCTAATGTTCACTTCACTGAAGACAGAATTTTTTTCATATAACTCGTGTTAAATGAGAAACAAGTGTTTAAATGTGTTACAGCTACTGTACATACATGAGGTAATACTAAAAGACTGAGGTCTAAACCAATATTAGCTCTTCTTAGGTTCTTTACAGTTATTTCATTGTTAATATTACAAGAGATACCCTTTTGTTGAGGTCTAACTGATGTTTTCTTGCAAACACAATGTCAGCAATGTTTGCTACAGTTGATTACAAACTTATTCACATCCAGCAAAGATTATGACAGAGTTACTAACGCTAACCTACACCCAGTAGCTTCCACAGCTGTGTCTGATATAAATCCCTGTTTCCACTCATTCACGACTCCTGATATAATAGACACTCAGTAGTTTACTCATGGGTGAACAGCAAATTCAAATTTTGAATGCTTACAATTTGCATTATCACTGACAGTTGCAAAGACAAACAACAAAAGTTTTCACATCTATAGAATGTGGAGATTAATATTTCAGGATTGTTAGCTGAAAGCAACATATATGCCATGGAAACAAGCTGTGAGGGCACTATAGTGGGCACTCAGGAAAAACATGGAGACTAAATATATTGGACTACATCACAAATGAGTGACTTTTTTTTTTACACAGTCCAGCACTTAATTGGCCTTGGACGTTTTTTCAGCTACACTGAAAAACCAGAAAAACGACCCTGTGCCAGCGTGGAGAAGCCTGCAGACCATCACCGGCTATAGGAACACCCCCCCATTGTGTGGAGAATCATCAACTGGCAGATGGCCAGAAAGTATTTCTGTGCAGGTTCAAGAAGCAGCACTTCACACTGCTCACTCACTTCACCTCAGACACACCAGCAGCAGCTGTTCCCTTTACCTACCCCCTCCTTTGGCCTCCCACCACTGATGATCTGTAAAAAGGATGTGCGTGGGCTCTTTGAGAAACAAAAGCCAGGAAGGCACCAGGCCTGGACTCCCTCCTGCCTGAAAGTCTGTGACATATGCAACACAACTTTTTTCATTCTATTGTGGAATCTGTCTATTTACATAAAAGCGCTGTTTCGACCAAGAATTGATTTTGGAACATAATTCCTCTACCTGCATTTCCACTGGAGGATCCAGGTTAAATTTAGTTCCAGGGTGTAGTTCTATCCAGGAAAAGATATATCTAGTCAAGGGGTAGTACTTTCACAATAGGCTCGAGGACCTTTTATCCCAGGGACAGTTCTTGGGATTTAGTTCCTGGGAATAAAAAGCACCAAATGGCTTTCTGGTGGAAACACAGCTAAACTTGTACAGGTCAAGGGTCAAAAGGGGGGCAGAGAAATTTTCTGCAGACCCTTCACACTCTGGACATAAAGGGTACATCTCATGTCTCATATATGATCATTCCTATGTCCTCGGTCCTTGTTCGAACCAGAAGTCATTCCAGTCAACTGCGGATGTAGGATGTTCCAAGTGTCTTATATCGGCTTTGAGCACCGAGAACCGAGGACCGAGGACGATGCTGGAGGAGCTATGAAGGAGGATACAGGAGCGTACATTCCTCCATTTTTTGAACCGACACGCCCCTTTCTCTGAAATCAGTTGGTGATTGGACACTTCAGACAAAGGATCTGAGGAAAGGACATCTCATGTCAATAATGTGTTTACTTGAATCCTCTCTCCTCATGTTTTCCTCACATCTTTTCTTCGCATCCTATGTGCAGGGCTAAGACACAAAGAAAAGATGCAAGTGAGGGAAACAATGGCGCTTATAACATAGATGCATTGGCTTATAAGAGACATGAGATGTTTGTACCCAAACTGTTTGAACTCCTCCTCTGTGGACGGTGCTACAGAACTCTGCATACCAAAACAACCAGACGCAAGGACAGTTTCTTTCCCATGATTCAGACTCTGGAAGTAATGTTTGGTTATGAAGTCATTTAGCCAAATATGCTAATGTTTGCCGGCTTACGTCAGAGCAGTTAAGCACCGCGTTTGATCAATTCCTTACACATTTTCCCTTCATTTTTGGTTTTGGAAAGTCCTAGAAAAGACACCACTCTTCAAACTCTTTAAATACGGAACATTATTCTTGCTAGGAACACCATGCACTGCTTCAACATAGAGAAATGTGAAGTTTGACCAACCTGCAGCGCCTAGTTATGTTTGCTAACATATGATTGGACACTCAGTCTTTAGGGGAGGGGTTTACATGGTCATTTAGCAAATCCTACAGATATTTATTAGTTCATCCAAGAAGGTTGTGTTTGGCTCCAGTCAAAAGTGGTTTGATTCATGATGCTCTTTGCTTGTCTTGTTTCAGTATAAGGTTAACAACAAAACACGGCATAATATCCCTGTAATTTAGTCTAACTACTGCAATTAGGGCCCGGTCTTTCTGAAACAAGATTAATCATTATTCTTTAAAGGTCTAATAAATCTTCAGCTGAACAACAAGGGCCTTTTCTTCTTGCGGTTTTAAAGAAAAGTGAAAAAGTTTAAAGTTTGGAAAGAAAACCACATTCTGAAGAAGCAAACACACCAGATGTTGAACTGTGAGTTTATTAAAATAGTAAAACTAAAATTAATCACAGCCAGTCTGATATATACAATCCTTACAATTAGTGTAATAAAGATGTTGTCTTTTTGTGACTCATTATATAACTTATTTAAACAAGTGCAGCCTGATATTTCTTTCTGCAGCACTTCAGCTCATGTTACGCGTGTTTTTCTTAATCTTTTAGCACATCACATACTGATATTTTTGCAGCACGCTGGGAAACATGGTGCCTGAAAGAGTTTTTTTAAACACAAGTTTAAAAGCAGTTTTACCATTTTGCCAGAGTTTGTTATATTTAATGTAAAACTGTATTGCATTGCTGCTGAATTCTCTCTGGTAGTCAAATCACTGTGTGAACTTTAGCAACCCTTTACAACAAATCATGAATGGAAGGTTTTGTTGCATGATGGCATTTGTAATTTGGGCCTCAGCCACAGCCCTTGGCATCAGCTGGAGGCTATTTCAGCAGTTTGGCAGCTCAGGTTTTGCCTTCAGATGTGTTCAAATGGCACTGCTTGACAAAGTATTATAATGTAAAACAAATGACTTGGAATCTCTGTAACATTTAATAATCTGCATAATGATTAGACCCACATTCCCATTACATTTGATGTGCTTTTAAGTTGTCAATTACAGTTTGCAGCTATTTCTGAAAGTTAGAGCCTTTTTAAAAGATCAGTTTTTAAGGTTTTAGATCTTTTGGTAGGAACAAATATGCAATGATGCAGACAGTTTGTCCAACTATCACTTGAAACATATTCTTGTTTAAATTAAAAATAGTTATCTTCACTCTCTCCTGCAGGCCTTCACTGACTGTTGTCAAGTGACTGGTAAGATGATAGCCCAATGGTCCTTCACCTCTAAACCCTTCAGGCAATTGTTCTGCCAAAATCCATCTATTTTCCCTTTTTATAGCTTTGTATAGCTTAGATTTTGGCCAGGCTGCACTGTAGCTGGGGCTTTGTTTGGGTTCACAGGACTTATTCATACCTTTCTGTGTGCTTTCTGTGACTTTGTCTTTTTGCCTAGCAGGGAACTTAAAGGTTCAAACTTTCCTCTGCTCAGGCAGAATTTAGTTACAGGCAAGAAACACCAGAGACTCCCAGTGGAGGAGATGATTTTCTTGTCTGTAAACCTTCCATTTTTCTTGGTTCAGGTCATGGGTTTGACACATCCTTCTGGGCTGTCTTTAATGCAGCTCCATTTCAGAGGCATGTTACACAACCTACACAGTGAAACAGATCCTGTCTCATTTAACTTGTCCTGGTGACATTGTGCCCCATGTAAAAATCTGGCTTTGAGCCTACAATAAATTATGTGTCCTTCCAGTCTTTCATGTTCTCTTTACTTTGACCACCATAAAGAAAGAAAGATAGAAACCTAACCACTGATTATTTTTGTAGAGATGTCTTCATGTTCACTCACCAGCATGACGCTGTGCTCTGTGGCAACTTGAACTGAGCAGTTTCATCAGTCTGACCTTCATCCCTGACTGTTTATTTTGTGGTTTTGTAGTCCTGGTTAGCTGCTACTTAGGCAGCACCATATAAACTGCAGCTACCACCTTCTGCTGCCAAAGAAGCCCCAGGCATGCCAAATAATCA